TTGAGAAACTAATCAGAGTGTCTGAAATCTCGCCACACCCTCATTCACCTGGCCCTTAAATTGGTCAATTAGTTTAGTCCACTAGACAGAGGGAATGACCACAAATAAGTGAATTCAGACACCTGCTGTTGAACACCTGCTGTTAACAAGCACAATCACTGAAGAAATAAGAAAATGAAGGAAGAAATAAAACTACAGACACAGCCTCACACCAAACCAGCTGAATTAAAACAGAGGATTAAACAACTCCATTAAATAATAGTATAAGCAACTTCACTGATTACAGTTTGACTTCATTTCTGTAAGAATATTTTTTTTATTAAAAATATTTCATTTGACCTCACCATCATGGAGATCAGAGGCTGCTTATTTGAGCTCTTGAAGCTTTACTGTTATATCCTAATAGTTCTCTGACTGCTATAACTGTGTTTCTAAAACTCATCAGCTATAGCAAGAAAGGTCAAGAGAAACTATACTGTTGATGCTTAATTGTTTTTAATTTCAGGTGTTTATTAAGTTGATTCATAAAGATATGCAAGTATAATTGTATTAAAGCTGCATGGGACAATAATACTGGCAGTCTGCTGCTCTTCATAGAACGTTCGACAAACATTTAGGATACAATTAATAATTAAAGTATCATGCACTAAACATTCAAGCTCCAGCTTGCTCTTTATGACACACAGGCATCAAGAATCAGGACATGAACCTCAACCGTGGTTGCTAAAAAAAAAAAAAAAAAGCTGCATAGTTCATGCCGCAATGCATGCTTGGTGCCAGCATAGTATAAAGCTCCCAGCATGCATTGCAGCATGAATAAATTATGCAGCTTTATGTTCTTACAATCTCTTTCTTTTCCTTTATTTTGTGTTGTTTTTGGGAGGTGATATTTCAGTAGTGGTTTTTTTTTTAACTTGATTTTTAATTTTTTTGTTTGTCACCATCATTGAGATTCAAAGACTAATTATTGATGTCTGTGTGTTTTTGAGTTCTGCCATAGATCAAACATTCTCATTGTAAATATTGTTTTAATTTTATTTTATTGGAGCTTCAGTGGTTGTTTATTTCTCACACATAACTAATATGATACTGAATTAGAAAACAAGGAAAGGATGGCTATGTTATCATTAATAATCTCTTCAGACTGACACTTTAATTTTCTTTCGGCTTTTCATGCTGTATGTTTAAATAGTGTAATTAACACTATCTATAGCAGCCAAAATAAAAGACATTTATAGAAAGAAGTTGAAGAGCCTGACTTAAGCAGACTCTGTCCTCCATCATGGTGACTTCAAATGAACAACAGAAATTTCATTAAGAGCTTTTGTTCAAATGACAGAAATCAAGTCAAAGGTCAGTAATAGGTGAAGCTCCATGATAAGTTGTTTAATTTGATGAGTTTTTTTTTTTTTTAAAGATGTTGAAAAATAACATTTTTTATTGTGTAATTTGTTTTATTTTTATTGATTATTATTTTATTTAGAGTTTTTTTTCTCAGTTGATTTCATCTTTGGTTTTGGCTTGTGTTTTTCTGTCCTTCAGTGATTCTGCTTGTTAACAGTTGTTCATCAACAATTCTCAATCCTCCTTTAATTAGACACTTAATTGTCTCAACATCATCACTGTCTGAGTGTTCAGCCCTCTGTAGTGAGGACACTAGTGAGGATTTTGCTCTGGAATTTAAGGCTTACGTGTGTGCATCTTCTTTTGTTTAAAGGAAACTGTGTAGTTACTAATGCAGTCAAAATCTGTTAGCTACTAGCAATCACACATGAAAACATTATTGCATCTAAAGACTTTACATTTTTGTGCACTAAGCTATGATTTTGTAAAATAAACAATGTATTAGTTCATGAAATATGGTTATTTTTTGTAAATTTATACAGTTATATAAAACTTCCATGTGTTTCACAAAAAGATTCTGGCAACCACAGCTGCTGGTATTTTTTCGGAAATTTAACAGATATTTTACACAATAAGAGTTTGCTAATTAACACTCTCTTGGTGTTGACAATGTTAACACTTTCAAAAGTGTTATTTTTAACACTTATAGGGGTTCCCATATAAACTCTGAGGGAGTGTTAATTTTAACTCCAAGGTAGTTAAATCTACTATCTAAAATTTGCAGTGTGGCTGTCAATCCAGTTTAGAATTCAGTACAAAGTACTGCTCTATGTTTTTAAATCCCTCCATGGCCCCTGAGTATATTTCTGAGCTAATTAATATACACCAACCCGTGAGATCTCTTCACACTAAGGATCGACTCTATTTGCCAGTTTCACAATCACGCTTGAAATGTGGGGTGATAGAGCTTTTCCAGTCACAGCTGAAGACTCTGGGCCGATCTTCCACTCTCCTTAAGAACTTCTCCAACTCTTGAGTGTTTTCAGAGGTCACTGAAACACTTATTTTCTTCAATTTTTACTTGTGTGTTGTGAGTTGATGTATTTGGTTTCTTGTATGTTTGCTTGTATTCTGTGTTTTATGTTCAGCACTTTGGTAGCCATTGTGGTTGGTTGAAAGTGCTCTAGAAATAAATTGAGTTGAGTTGATCAGGATAAACAGCAGGAGCACAGAGCTATAGTGGAGCTGGTGAAACCCTCCATGATGATGCGAGCCCACCTTTCTGGAGGTTTCAAACACCTCTAGACTGCCTGGATGTCCTTAAAGGGGGGGGTCTAGAGTTTTTTTTAAGGCTTGGTTGTGTTGATAGAATGCAATGCGATGTGTGCTCATGCTTTATTTGTAGAAAAGCTTATTTTTGTATATCTGACTTTGACTATATACAGCTACTTAGCTAACATGAAGACAAATGTCATATGTCCTAGTTCCTCTGAAAGGCCTGTCCTCAAGAGGCTTTGATTGGTCAGCTAATGTATTGTGCTGTGATTTGCAGATTGGCTTCACGTCACCAGGAAAAGTGTCACGGCTCTACAAGCACACACTTTTGCGCTGTGTAAATCCTATCAGTCAGAGTAGCTGTTAGCCGTATCAGTATGAGCCTGAAATAGACAGAAAATGAGACAGAGGACACAGCTGAAGCTCACGCCTGCTCTCTAAAATATCATCTGACAAGTGTATGTCACATATATTCAGAATAAGCATGTGTGAGTCATATGAAACATTCTCATATTTTTAGAGTGTTAGTTATCTGAGATGTAAAATGCCGGGAAAGTGTCCTCATAGAGAGACACTGCATTTTTTGCACTGAATTTGCACAGAATTTTTAGCTGAAATGTTAGCATTGCCAAACAGCATTTCCCGTTGTTTACATCCTTGTTTATGTCCTCGCTACAACATACCGTTAGTGCTAGAGACTGTGTCTGATGTACTAGAGAAGATTGAAACTGCTATACTAAAGACAACTGAAATGGTGGACATGGCTGGATAAGGCTGAGGAGCTGCAGGCAAGATTACAGGGCAGACAGTCCTGATCACTGACATGGAGGAATCTTTAGAAACAAAAACACACAAACAGCAAACAACAATGAATATATTTATATATCTTCTATATTTCTGTCACATATGCATCTGTTTCATTTTAGTCTGAAAAGTGCTTTGAGATGCAACTTTAAAGATGCTACAGAAGATTATTGTCATTAGTTTGTTTGTTAAATAATAATAAATAAAACAATTTTTAAAAATCCTGTTTTGCAGTGTTAGGTGTTACATAAAGAGTTGGACTATTGGAACATCTGAAGGAAGCCATTTGTATTTTCTAGACATAAATACTATTTTAAGCTAAAATCAGCAGATGTGCTCACTAACTAGTGAAGTTAAACCAGTCACTACAGTCAGACGTGCTTCAGACTATTAAACACACCAGATCAACACATACATATTGTGTTTATCCTCTACACAGGCTACAGTTCTGTAAACTCACTGTTCGGTTCTGTGAGAGTTTGTCTTCAGTTCTACAATCCTCAAACTGTGTATTGAGAGAGCTGGCCCTGATTAACAATGACCTGCAGGATTCAGGAGTGAAGAAGCTCTCTGATGGACTGAAGAGTCAACACTGTAAACTGGACACACTGAGGTCTGAGTTTAAACACCTGATTGATTGATTTTTGTTTTGTTACATCAGACAAATCACATTAACAGTGTGTTTTTTGTAATGTGTGCTCTTTCTCAGACTGATGACATGTAAACTCACTGCCGATTCTTGTAAGAGTTTGTCTTCAGCTCTACAATCCTCAAACTGTGTGCTGAGAGAGCTGGACCTGAGTATCAATGACCTGCAGGATTCAGGAGTGAAGAAGCTCTCTGATGGACTGAAGAGTCAACACTGTAAACTGGAGACACTGAGGTCTGAGTTTAAACACCTGATTGATTGATTGATTGATTGATTTATTGATTTTTTGCTGTTACATCAGACTGATCACATTAACAGTGTGGCCTGCAGGATTCAGGAGTGAAGCTTCTCTCTGATGGACTGAAGACTGTAAACTGTAAACTGGAGACACTGAGGTAAATGATTCTCAACTCTACAATATCTACAGTCAGACAGTTTCATATTAGAGCTTTTCATGCTTGAACATGTTAACCCTGGGTGATACTAAACCCCAGATAACAGGAAGTATGGTTTATCAGTAATTGTGTTTCACACTGCCCATACTATACCTGTAGTTAACCCTCAGGGGTCTGAGTTGATTTTGGGACCCCTGAGATGTTTTGACATGCCCTGACATCTGTGCTTATTTCAGCTACTTTTTACACAGTACTAGCCAACATGTGTTTTATTAGTATTCAGCTCAAACTGAGCTACAATAATATGTGAGAAATATTGATGTACATTGTGCTGATTTCCCTTTGTTTAATCACCCTAATTAAACAAAGTTAAGATCAGGATCCTCCCTTAGCTATATTTCTTAGCAAGAGTTTAGTTAAAGGATCGTCTTTAAAGAATGTATTTTGCAAAAGAATAAATTAGAGCATACTTTACCACACAGGGTAACTTTGATGGGTTCTGGAAAATGAATTCAATGTCCACTCCAGTGAAGAAAAGTAATAAAATACACTTTTATTAATAAAACAAAATCCAGTGAAAAAGTAGAATAAACAAAAGACAAACAGAAAACAAAATCCTTACTTTGTCCCCAGTTGGCGGACAAAGGGCAACCAACCTCAATGAACAGAAGTCAGGAAGCGCAAAGCTGAAGAGTACATGTCAGCTTTTATACTCAGTGTCGCAGTGACAGTATTCATAAATCAACCCTAAACACAGGTGCACAGACTACTGAAATCATACATTCAAGAAGCATGCTAAATCACTTGAACAGTAAAAAGACAGATATATAGTCATCAAGAGTACATTGTATCATATAAATCAACATTTAGGCTGTTTAATATAAGCCTTGATTTATAATGTGCTATAAAGTTATGCACTTAAATTCAGGTGCGTGAACTCGGTAGAAAGTTCAGCAAAAGTACAAGTTGGGAGTTCATTCAGAGTTCGACTACTAGCAAGAGGGTCATCTGAAGTAGCAAGGGGTTCACAGAGAGTTCGTCCAGCTGATTTGTTGGCTAGGCGCGCCCTCTGTCGGAGTCGCCTTTCCTTTCTCTTACGTTTCATTTCATCGTTAAGAGTTGTACTTTTACGCATAGGAATATCAGAATACATCAGTGAATTTTTTGTCTCTCACATGATTAATGTCATCTGACCCATCAACCATCACACCGTTTATGAAGGCTCGTATGTGTTTGTTATCATGATCCACAGTGTTTGTTGCATGTTTTTCCCTAAGATCCTGTCAGGGCCAATACAGCAAAGCTGTGTGTGCAGCAAGCATTTTTGACGGAAGAGCAGTACGAGAATTGGAGAATGGCGGACATTGTCTTTTATCAGGAGTTTGTTCACATTTAGACACATCGCCGTGCTGTTGTGTTCGCCTAAATCCTCTAGGTTACCAACAGGGCTAATGGTTGAAATAGACAGGGCAAGAGGCCTGCTGCACTGAGCCTGCATTCAGACCTATGGTTCAGACAAGGGGATTAAGGGAAAAGTCTTCAATTATAGAGTTTATATGAACATGATTATCTTTATAATGATATAAATTGTGGTTAAGTGTATATGAAATTACGAATAACAAATGTAGCCGGGCATTACATTACTGTTTATTTCTTTGCATTTTAACTTTATAAACTATAAAATCACGTGTTTCATTCTGTGAGCTAACTGACAACAGTTGTTCACTGCCCTCCTTCTCCCCTGCTGGACACGCCCACTCCTGCCCTTTGCTCGCGGAGCAAAATCAGGAATCGAATGGAAACCTGGCTCAATAACCCACACAATTCAAAAGAATGGAACCAGTTGTGAGTGTTTGTGATTGTGAGGTATAACCAATAAAGAGAAAATGATCACAATGAAGGCTGATAAAATTAATGAATCTAAAAATGATTGAGAAATAAAATCGACACATGCAAGTGTGAAAACATTACACAAAGTTGTGCAGTTCCCAGAAGTTCCTGATGCCTTTCACACAAATTCTTTCAAAACAGCCACATCAACACTACAAGAAGAAATGGCTGCATTATTGCTTTTTGCCTCAGCTGATGTGATGGAACTATTTATACATTATACATTTAACAAAACATATTGTTTTACAAAATTATCTTAGATATAATTAAGTCATTCCTGGCGTTCTGTAATATTTCAGTCCCCCATATTTTTTTATAGTGGTTGTCGACTTAAATTACATGTTAAAAGCATTTTTCATTGATCTACTTTGTACATTATAATGAATAAAAAAATACATTAAATGCAGCTTTAGCATAAAAAATATAATATGTCTGTCACAAACCAAGCTATTTGTCATGCCCCCGAGGCACTTCTTTGAAATTGCATGTAGACACAGTGTTTATTTTTTTAGTATTACAACTATTTATTTGTGTTATTTACTTGTGATAAATAAAAAATAAGATTTTTTAATAAAAAACAGGCTACAAAGTTATGTCCCTCAATATAAACTCAACCCTGTCACACCAGCAATTCTCCACCTACAGACGGAAAGTGACATCATTCAGTTCTCTTTCTCAGCATGGTGCAAAAGAAGCTATATTTTCATTTATTTACACTTTTTGATTTTATTATAGTTAGGAAGGATGCGGTCAAGCTTAACAATTCAACCCCGTAACGTAAAACTAAGATGGAATATGATTGTTTTTTTTTTATTTCCAAACAATATAACATATTCTTGTTTAATTGCTGCCATGTGGGCATTCTCTTTTAAACCACACAAGGAGCAGAGGACATTCTGCTTTAAAAACTCAACCCCATCACACATGTCATTGTTTTGGGTATATTCACCTAGTTAATTAGGAATATTCATTAAAAAACATAAAAAAAAATTTTGTTACTGATAGAATATTTGAAGCTGTGTTTTACTTAAACTTTGACACTATTTAATGTCAGACACGGCACCCGTACCAGCAGCAGATTTTATATTGAGTGTCACAAGTTACATCATGAGTTTATGTAAAGCTAATAAAATCAGAACAAAAAAATACTTAAATTATGTAATAGTTCATTTGTTTATCTCTATGTCATGTGACAATTACCCAACTTTAGAGAGGGGGTCATTGAGGGCATAACTCATATTAATATTATAGATACAGAGGGTTAGGCTAACAAAAGGTTTTGGAATCCCTGATTGAATCCCCTCCTGCTGCCCATCCACCTCAGGGTTGGAAGTTTTGTGTGTTCAGAGATGCTCCTCTGCAGTCCTCGGTTGTAACGAGTGGTTATTTCAGTTACTGTTGCTCACTATATAATTTTCTCTCCTAGAGATTGTTGTGTGTGAAAATCCCAATAGATCAGCAGTTTCTGAAATAAGCAGATCAGCCAATCTGGCTATATAATTTTATTTTTTTATTAACATTATTGAGTATTTTCATTAACAATTTCATTAAGAACTTTTCTGCTGCAGTTTTTATTGATGTTCTAGGAAATAAAGTTTTAGACAAGACTTTACCTGTTGCTTCTGTTTACTGTAGGTTCTGTTCAGCAATATATTGGGTATATTGGGTTTTACTAAAATAAATTGAGTAAGTGTTAGATGTAATTTCAAATGAACTAAAACAAATTAAAACTGAAATTTACGTGTCCTCTTAACCCTGTTATGGTCTTAAACCCGTCACTGTATTCTCCACCCTGTGAGATTCATTTTTTTAAAGGAAAACAATTAAATATAGAAAAAAATATTGCTGAGAACCAACCAGCATGTTAAGGCCTAACATTGTAATTATTTGGGTGGGGTAAGACATCTAAATGTAAAACTTTTTAAAAATTAAGAGACCACAGAATGCGCAAGTATGAATAATTGTAACTTAAATCACATATGAATCTAAAACTCATTAAAAATGTGATATTTTAGCCATTAAACTGATTTGAGGGACATATGAGCAACAGGGAAATGTTGGTGTTATAGCAAAAGCTTTGTAAAATATTATTACCAACTCAGTTTAGTCTATTACAGGGTTGAGAATAATGGCTGCCCAATTAAGAATAAAAGAGAAAATAATATAAAGGCTTTAATGCCCGAGGTGGGAAAAACATGATGTTTTGAAAGTTTAAATTGTGCCTAATTATGTAGGCTAAATTTAAAAATATAATCAGTACACTTTTAAAAATATGTTACTACAAGATATGAAAACTGCGGCACAGCACACTACAAGATACTATCAAGATTGTTGTGCCTGATGGAGCACATCACCTGACTGCAGAATAACTCTGCTTTTTATTATAGGCTTGCTTACAAATATCTGATCAACTGCCAGAGCGAACAGCCTGCAGAATGAAGAGAAAAGCTGCTTGTTGAAGAGAGCACATCATGTCCAAACAAATGTCTAATATTATGATTATTATTATTACGGATCAGAGAGGTGACAAAGGCAGATTAACAGAAATAACGGACATTTCATGATACTTTAGGGGGAAAACCAGTGTGGAGAGTTTTGTATAAACCAACTTTGACAAAATGTGTTGGGGATTTACAATGGAGGATTCTGCAGGGGATTGTGGCAGTGAATGATTTCATACGTGTTGTTCACTCTATAGTGTCCATGACGAGTGTCTCTTCTGTGGACATAGAGAGACTGTACACGTTTAACACAATAGTTTGATATGTTGAGCAGAGTTTTCCTGAAATGTGGAGAGAATTTGACTCAATGTAAGTTTCTTCTGGAGTTGGCTATAGTCAGAAACACAAACTGAAATAGCAGTTCATTCACTGTTTAGTTGCTCAAGCAAAACTTGCTCTACTTATCACAAGAAGAAACTAAATAGATGATGTACATCACAGGTGTCAAACTCAGTTGCAAAAGGGCCGCAGCTCTGCACAGTTTAGTTCCAACCCTAATTAAACACACCTGATCAAACTAATTGAGTCCTTCAGGCTTGTTTAAAACCTACAGGTAAGTGTGTTGGAGCAGGGTTGGAACTAAACTGTACAGGGCTTCGGCCCTCCAGGAATTGAGTTTGACACCCCTGATGTACATGGTCAAGAGATTGAGAGTTTTAAAGCGTTCGTCAGGTCCAGAATTAAAATAGATTTAAAGTATTACAAGGCCATAAATGATGCTGAAACCTTTGAACAACAGTGCTGTTATAAGGACGCTGTCTGCAGTGTGGAGGTAGGAGAGCTGCTGTTACATCTGATGTGGAGTTACAATGTGTCAAAAAAAAAAATGATGTAAGAAAGTATTTTTGTAGAAAAAAAAATCCCACACAGACAAACATACACTCATGCACACACTCAAACACACACACACACTCGCACACACATGCTCTTTCACACATACACAAACAAACACTCTCTCTCTCTCTCTCTCACACACACACACACACTGCTACTGACTGCTCCTTCTCAGTCTTCAGCACAGTTTGACTGATGATTGACACCAAATAGTAAACCCAGGATAGAGCGGCTCAGTGAATGTGGTCTGGACTGAGTGGATGAGGCTCATTGTGTCTCTATAGATGTTGTAGAAGATCAGAGTTCCTGCACTGTGATCCACAAACACTCCTATTCTCCTGCTGAGCGGTTTCACTGGGAGATCAGTGCGTGTGTCATTTTGCCAAAATATATAACTGGAGGAAGAGCAGCGCAAACTCCAGGACTGAGCATTACATCCGAACAAATACTCAGGATCTACTCCCTTCCTCCTGATGCTCTTATATGACACTGATATCCACACATCATCTCCACTCCAGTCAATCTCCCAATAACAGCGTCCACACACACTCTCTCTGCACAACACCTGAGAATAAATACCATCAAATCTGTCTGGATGATCAGGATACCGCTGATACTCTCTCACACGCTTCACCTCTCTGTTCTCCTCAGACAGAATGAGAAAAGCGTATGTCGTGTTTGGATCCAGAGTGAGGAAACAGGCATCTGAACACAAGAACACACACATGTATAACCACAGCTCTGTGTGTGTGTGTGTGTGTGTGTGTGTGTGTGTGTGAGAGAGAGAGATAGAGAGAGAGTGTATGTGTGTTTGTGTGTGGGAGAAAGAAAGTGTGTGTGTGTGTGTGAGAGAGAGAGTGTGTGTGTGTGTGTGATTGAGAGAGACAGAGTGTGTGTGTGGGTGAAAGAGAGAGAGTGTGTGTGTGTGTGTGTGTGTGATTGAGAGAGAGAGAGAGAGAGAGTGTGTTTGTGTGTGTGTATGTGTGTGTGTAGTCCTACATTTGCGTGGTCCTGCTGTAATCCTCGTGTGTCCTCCATGATCCAGACTGTAAACACACACAGATGGAGAGAATGAGCTGTTTAGTTTCCCCCTCAGCTAATAGGCTAAAGCTAGCACTGAGCTGCTCAGCTACACGCTCCAAACTCTTGAGCTAAAACACACAACACTTGTTGGTTGAGCCAGGATGCACAATGAATGTAACACAGTGCGTTCTTTTCCTCTGCTGTTGGTGAAGCGAGCACAGATACTGCTCATGTTGATGGAGACACCCTGCTGCAATATTCATTTATTACAGTTGTTGGAACTCTATGCAAAGGATGTTGCAGATCTCAAAACCAGTTCGAATAAGGCTCGGAAACTGGTAGCCAAATTGTCTGTAGTCATTGAACCAGCTTGAGGGCTTAAACCATCATGATAACAAAGCACTAATTGATTTTGGGCTACTCTGACCAGCACTTCGGCCACAGTTGTTCCAAGTACCCTTCAGCGAAATTAGTAAACGATTTAAATTGAACAAAGGGGCTTTAAAGGATTTTCAGCGTAAACCGCCTCACGAGACTTTTGAATGACTCCCAGTCATGCGTTAGTAATGTGGTACATCCTGCCAGATGACAATTTTGTAGAGACAAAGAGAAATGAATGCATGTGAATGCAAGACAATCTCTTAAAATGTTAGAACTAAGGCAGATGTATCTTTGAATAATATGCCATAATGTTCCTCATATGCTGTTTATTCCAACCAACCAGGTTAAACAATGTGTTGTTTTAACCCTTAAAGCAGATTAAAATGATCTGTATGTGTCTAAAATGTATGTCTGGTATTGAATGAAAGCTAGTAACATTTGCAATCTTTTGGTGTAAATGAAAAACTAGTAGTACAAACAGTATTCATCTTGTAACATTTGATGTAAGATCATTTCAATCTTGCAAGAGTTCTTCCATATGAAATCAATATGCAGTCTGTTAATGATTGAACCTTCCTATGTCAGTATGGGGCGTGGCCCCGCCCTTCGTTGCAACTGCTCATTGGCAGACAGTGCCATGGGGGCAGACCGAACCAGGTCACTTTAAACTCCCTGCAACAAAGAAACTTTGCTTTTTGCATTAGCTGGCTTGCGCATGCTTTTGCTCTCTGCCCCCTCTCACCTGCCCGATTGGGTCACCACAAACTTCTTTTAAGTTTTAGGATCGCCGAAGCTGCACGAACTTCCACAAACTGACTTTCAGCAGTCTGTCACTCGGTGGTGACCCAGGACAACAGCCATTCATGAGCATGAACTGCCTTTGTGTGTGTGTGTGTGTGTGTGTGTGTGTGTTTGTTTGTTGTTTGTTTATTACATAGTTAGTTTCATGTATCGTAGTGTAGCTCAATAAATCTTTGTTCTCATTTTTTAAGAACTGTGTTCTTGTTTATGTGCTTCTAAGTCATTGCCTCGAGCTGTAGATCTTGTTACCTTGCTAAAAGTTAACCCAATACTGTGTTATGTTATTATCGTTGGCCACGTAAATAATATTAACAAGATTGGTAAGATACGTCTTCTGTTTGCGGGACAAATTGTAGATAAAGTGTGAATCTTTTAATCTGATTCAGTCTGACTCAATTGAGTCGAATCAATGATTCGAATCTTTAGGATCCGATTCATTGAAATGAGCTAATTAATTCCTGATCAATCTTAAAACGTGGGTTAAACCCCTAGACAGTGATCACACTTAGCTTTGCCATCGTTCTTCAGCACATGCAGCCTTTGAGCACATGTTGCAGTCCATCTCTAAACTATGTTCAGATTATTAAAGCTGCTCGCCAGCGCCCAAGTTCCTGACAGATTAGCAAGTGAAAAATACACGTGTGCACAGAGAAGAGGAATCCAGATGTTGATTTTAGAACAAGAGTCTGAACATTAATCCAAGTGTCTGATTCCAGAATCTGAATCAATCTTCAATCCCCAACCCTATTCCTGACCTGATATTGTAGGACTCTTCAGCAGAAATGGAGGAAGAAGTTTCTCTGCTCAGCTCAAATGCTGAAACTGTACAGTGTGTCCCGCTTAATGTCACTGTAACTGAGCCAATACACTCCAACATTTACAGAGGAGATTCATTTCACACTCAATGATTTGCTCTTCATAGACATGACTGGAATACTCTACAAGCTGTATCTTCTGTCTGTCCTCACCCCATAACCCTCACAGAAAACTGAAGCTGATCACAAAAGAGCTTTCTAGTGTCTTTTTAAAGCCATTCAATGTAAAAGCACAAGGCCAGTGATGCTCCACATACTTGAGTTTGTCCAGTGTGTAGTTTGGATCCTCCAGTTGTTCAGAGAGCAGCTTGACTCCTGAATCTCCTGGATGATTGTAGCTCAGATCCAGCTCTCTCAGGTGTGAGGGGTTTGAAGTCAGAGCTGAAGACAGAAAACCACAGCCTTCCTCTGTCACCATACAGCCAGACAATCTACAAACACAGCAATAGTCCACATCACACAGTTGGACAATCACACATCACGCCATTGCCAGCCTGCACACACACATTATCGTGTGTGTTAAATGCAAAAGTACCACAAGCCTGCGTTTGAGTAAAGATCCCGGTCGTTAGATCCCACCCTGTGGGCTGGCTGCCTCTTCCGTGTTAATAAATGAGACTTTAGCCCAAATAATCCAGAGTAGTCCCGAAAGATGGTTTTGATCAATTAAAGCACTGATTATCGTGCTGATATAGGTGCAGATCTTTAATTTTGTAAAGAGTTTGTTTTTAGCAGTAATTTAATGATGGGAATTTCATCGTTTATTGTTTACTGATACACGCCTAACCAGATAGCAAAATACACTCGGGCCAGTTCCGGCTAGATTGTCGCCTGCCAGAGACTTACCTCGACTCTGACAGTAGTCTACTTTGCTGCCCGAGTCAATCGGGTCCAGATGCGGTGGCCGTTAGCGAGCCGACGCTGCCGTATCCGAGCCAGAATTGGCCTGTGATTATGTGCGCTGCGGCCCGAAGCTGGCGCAACTGAATCTTCATTTTATAAAACCTCACCTTTATTACCATTATTACAACCATTTGAGTTGATATAACAGCAAACTCAGGCTACTATGTAAACGCAAAGTGTAGGCATTGAGCTTGACCTTTGAATTAAATGTAAACAGTGCCTACACACACACACACATACATATACATATATATATATATATATATATATATATATATATATATATATATATATTAGTGCTGTCAATCGATTAAAAAAATTAACTAATTAATCACACTTTTTTAAAATGTAATCACGATTAATCGCATTTAAATAACTGAAACTTGTAATTTTGGCCATTCAAATATAAAATTAATGTAAACGCAAGACAAAAAAATATTTAAATTCAAAATATAATTGTTTAATAGAACTTTTGTTTAACTTGTGACAGATTTCTTCATGTAAAGAACATACCCACAATAAACCATCAAGATCATGGCTTGACAGCCATATTTATTACAGAAACGTCACATGCCATATTTATTACTGGTGCAATGTCAATTCTGTCTCTGTCAAGGACAGAGTATCAGTATTTTAAATGTGATTAATCGCGATTAATATTTTTTTAAAGTGCGATTAATTAGTTACATTTTTTTATTGATTGACAGCACTAGTTAGAATCCTTGTGAAATACAGCCATACTTTAGAACGCTTAGTTTAAGCAAATTTGATGAACGCTGCGATCATGCGTGTTGAATCTGAAGGGAGTCGCTTTGCCTGCCCTGTCCTGCACGCGGTGTATGCGTCTGTCTGTGTGTCTGTGCGCACACACGCATGTGTTTCTTAGCAACAAACCTGCATAAACGTCTGTAGCAACTAAATCAAAAAGATTGCGTTGCATTGCACTTTCAGCTCACAACATACAAAAGAAAAGGTCCACATTGTATATATGTGGCCTGCGGCCTCGTGCCATCGCACACCTCCCCCCAGTGCCGATATACAGCCATATCGCCATGCTACGAGTGTGATATTGCTTATATATATAAATATAAATATACTAGTGCTGTCTATCGATTAAATAAACTAACTAATCAATCACACTTTTTAATCACATTAAAAGACTGAAATTTGTAATTTTGGCTATTCAAATGTAAAATTAATGTAAACGCAAGACAAAAACTATTTCAATTCAAAATATAATTGTTTATTAGAATTTTTGTTCAACTTGTAACAGATTTCTTCATGTAAACAACATACCCACAATAAACCATCAAGATCCTGGCTTGACAGCCATACTTATTACAGAAATAAAAACACAGGCATGTTGATGCCATTTGAATTTTAAAACAATCAATGCCAATAAAGAAAAAAATGATTTCCAAGTTGGATTCTAAGTGTACTGAAATAAAAAGCCAAAATACAGGCATTACAGATATGGAAAACTATAATAACAAAGTATTGAATACAAACAATTGCACTCATTGTAAAGTTGTATTGCTGTGAGTTGAGAATGTTAAAGTAGAAACAATTTCGCTTAGTCCTAATTTACATTCAGACATTTGCTAAAACAATCCAGTATGGTGACATTATCGGGGGAGAATGTGGACCTTTTCTTTTGCATGTTGTGAGCTGAAAGTGCAATGCAACCCAAACTTTTTGATTTAGTTGATACAGACAATTATGCAGGTTTGTTGCTAAGAAACACATGCGTGTGTGCGCACAGACACACAGACAGACGCATACACCGCGTGCAGGACAGGGCAGGCAAAGCGACTCCCTTCAGATTCAACACGCATGATCGCAGCGTTCATCAAATTTGCTTAAACTAAGCGTTCTAAAGTATGGCTGTATTTCACAAGGATTCTAACTAGTGCTGTCAATCAATAAAAAAAAATGTAACTAATTAATCGCACTTTTAAAAAATATTAATCGCGATTAATCACATTTAAAATACTAAAACATGTCATTTTAGCTATTCAACTGTAAAATTTATGTAAACGCTAGACAAAATTTATTGAAATTCGAAATATAATTGTTTATTCGATTTTTTGTTGCACAGAGACTCAATAAAATCATATTATGGTTTG